TGGCTAACCATATTCCCAGGTTGCTTTAGGTATTTGCAGAGCAAAGCCTTAATGGTGGGGTAGAGACTGAGGCCCAGTTGAATGTGTAATAGCAGTTGTTCCAGGTTGTAGTCATGGGGGTTTGTTTTTTGCCTTTCTGTTTGATTACTGTTTCTGTGTTCTGCACGGCTGAACACTGAGCCACACAGCAACGCCGGTTATCTATCTTTCTCTCACACTCTCTCTCACACACACTCACACTCACACTCTGACAAATAACCAAACTGTGAAACAAAGAAGTGTTCCATTTTTTTTACATCACCAGCTGTTCACACCCATACGCTATAATAAACACTGCAGTGCGTCTGAAACAAGGTAAACACAAAGTAGATTCTGTTCTACATTAATTAACCAACTGATTCATATAAACCATGAACTAAACTGACACCACAGACCAGATAACTGTTTAAACATTGACATACATGTGATTCTGCAGGTCAGTAAATGGTTTACTTGGCCCTATGCGTCCCCAGCAACAGTTTTGAGAGTGGGCATTTTGTCTGGCTGCGACCTTCATTTATCAGGTTGTTTATTCACTCAGGACTACACACATTCCAGCTTGGCAGCAGGGTTGGGAACAGTTGATGATGGATTAGCAGAGGAAGGCGCTGAGATAGTTTTAAAGCCAGAAGATGAACTTTGTGATTTGGTTCATTTTGCGTCTCTCCTCCAACGCTCACTTCATCTTGCACTATATTTCTCCCTCTTTTCTACTCTCTTATTCTACTTCCTTAAATCTTTTGTTACCCTCTTAAATTGTGTGTGACACATTTTTCATATTTATCCACCTTTTATGAAATCCATTACAACATAACCACACAGATCCACAGCCCAATCTTTCTGCTGATCTTTTTTTCTATCTTCATCCATTAACTGTTAAATTCCTCTCCCTCTTCACAAACAATTAATCAGTCTCCCCCTGCCAGGTGCAAAGCATCCATCCCTCTCCATCTCTCCACTCTTCTCCTGCTACTTTGCACAACTGTGTTTGGAATATAAACTTCGCAGAGGGAGGACATCACATGATGCTGTGCTTCCCCCTCTTTACTGTGATCACTGTACCTTGTTATCTTGTGTATGCTTGTTTCTATTGAGCCTGGCAGCAGCTGATCAATATCCATCGTATAGACACTAATCACTGACACTATCCTTCTCAGTAGGCACAGCTCAATAGCAATGACCCCACTTCATTTACATCTCGAGCCCATTCACAAAACAACTCATAGAGAGAATAATCCTCAATAACCCGAATGTAAATTGGCTATGAATGAACGTCGCAGCTGGAGGACTTCAGTCTACATGATACTTGTGTTCTCAAACCTTAGAATAAAAATTCAGATAAAGACACAGTCTATAATCCAAATGAAAATGAAAGGGTGCTGTAGACCCTTTAATCAAACACCCGGGACTGAAATCTGCTATTCCTCAAACAAGTAATCCTTGTATTTCTGGATTAAAGAAGAAGTTTGGTTTATCTTTTTAAGATAGCAGGATTACTCATGCTGTGCTGTTATGTAAAAGTCACACTGACACAACTGAAGGGACCTGTCCTAAGATTCAGGGAAGCTAAATAATGTGAAAACAAGAAATGTCAGCAAACTGATTTTACCTCCCAGGTAGGTAACATTTGGGCACAGGACCCAAAGCATGACACACCGTATATGAAAATCTGCACCAACAGGTCACCTGACAGGTCGTGTGACTACCCAAGTAAAACAAATAGAGAAAATAATCATAGAATAATTAAAATTAAATTATAAAATAAAGTAAGGTAATAAAGTAAATAATTAATAAAATACAATAAATATAAAACTTAGCAGTCAAGAGTAGCTTAGACAGTAAATCCAACAAGTGCAATTCATCTTCATTTCTCATTAGAAAATAAAGCCAGTAAGAGCAATACTATGCACTATTAATTATCTGTGCTAATTAACCTGGGTGACATTGCTAGGTCAAAACTGAAAACTAATTTAAATGGAAAGATGGGCTGATGTAAAAAGTTCTTGAAACTGGTAAAGGTTCGTTAGACTGAAAAATTGATATAAAGATGATATTTCAGCAGACTTTGCTTTTGTTTCTTTTGAGCAATGATTTACTCCCAAAATACTTTAGTAACACCAGATGTTCTGTTTTCTCAATGTATCTTAACAAACTGAAGCATGTTCTGCAGTTGGATGTTTTGATTTGGTGTATCTTCTATTATAGGTTGTGTTTTCATCTTTTATTTACACCATTATCTCCCCTTCCTGGGCTTTTTCACACAGCAGCCACCTAACCTCATCCTGAAACTGCCTCTTATACTATTCTGTCTTTAACTGTTACTGGAAAAGGGCTTTTCCTCTGCTTGCTGGGCAACAGTCCAGCAGATAGAAGAGATGGAGACAGAATGAGGACCAGGAGAAGTGGGGAGGTGAGATGAGGTGGGCTGAAGGACTGCTCAGAGGGTTTCCCCTGCCAAGGCGGCACAGAGGAGGGTTTGTGTCTGTGTTTTTCTAAATGGTCCCATGTGTCTGAACATGCAGCACAGGACCAGTTTGACTCTTCAGGGATCTATGGTTGAGGCTGTGCTGCCAGGTGGTTACCACAAAGCCGTTTATCTTCATATGCTGAACCTCTCTCTCGTCTGCTGCCTCACGGAGCCAGAGTTCAACTTAGCACTAAAGCCATGACGGAGAATGGTTTCCATTATAACAACAACAAGAAGCCGTTAGAGAGGGCATTGTGCGTCTTGCTATTATAGCTGTTAAACTGCATCATATTTTCTCATACCCTGCCTCATTTCAGGCTTCCATCAGAGTCAATGAGGATTATCATCAAAGGCAGAATCAGGCCAATGCTTTATACAGTATGTGACCCTCCAATAACCTACATCCACATCATGTAGGTAAAGGGCAGTCATGCTCATTGTTCTGCTCTGTTGGGAAGGAAGTAAGGGAATGGAACTGGCCTTTCCTTCGGGGTGTGTAGATCAAGGTGCATTGTTTTGTACAGGGTGGTGCTGCTGCTGATATTCATAGCATACAAAGGCTTTGCTTTAAATTTGCTTTAAATTTAAATCAACTTACATATGATGAGAAGATTTGTCCTGATTAAGACATGTCAGGGGAATGTTTGAAAGACATTGAATGTTTGGTAGATAGTTGCTGGTGTCACCTCTAAAGTGTCTTGTCCCCGGTTCTTGCAGAGTCTTTAAAAAGACACGGACTCATAAAATTATGAAAAGGTGACACCTGGGACTTTGACACCAACTTAAAATGCAAAAATGCATCCTCTGCCCAGCAAGGGCTCTTTTGTTTGTTGATCCCAGACACAAAATACACACTCATAAACTTGCATAAACACAATCTCACATGCCCACTGTCATATTCATACACACTCATGCACAGAAGTCCATAATTTGCAATTTCAGCAGTGTCACAGCTAATTTTTCACTACGACAGGTTGACAGCACTTAAGGGGTTTTTATCCCCTTCTCCTCTTTTTCATCAGTTATAAACAGTCTGTGTTTTGCTTTCCTCTTCAGCATCTTGATGCAGTACATTGCAGTCAGGAATATCCTTTGACTTGTAAATTCATGGTTTATTAAGTTTGTCTTTGTAATCCGATAAGTGGTTGAAGGAGGGGGAGATAAATGAGTTAAGATGTTGGAACTACTGGAACGACAGCTGTTTCACCTTTTAAGATCATATTTGTAAAACATTAGAGAAAAATGCCTTTGGCAAAAATTGGATGCTAGGGCAATAGTGAATACAGAGATCAATAGAAACACACTGTCAGGATGAGACGGTATAAATGTGGAGTTATTTGTCATTGTATTTCAACCTTTCAGCGTATATGTGGGAAAATGCAGTGACAGAACCACCTAATGATAGAATAGGGCTCTTACTGAGGTTTAAAAAAAAACTAAATTACAATTCAGACTTTCATTTTCATGGTGAGCTCCCATACCGATATAATCATCATTTGTTTTTTCAAGTGATCCCTGCTTTAAAAGCCACAAAATTACTGCCCCTATTTAGTCATGACTGTTAAATGTCAACGTTTTCCCTGACAGAGAGTAAGTTTTTCAAATTATCCCACAGCAGTTTGATGGTTTTGAAGTCAGGGCTCTGTGCATGTCACATCTGTTATTTTTCCAACCTTGCTTTGTGCACAATTGCAGGGTCTTGCCACATGTAAAGCTTAGGTTTGACTTCTTTTATACCAATAAATAACATTAACAGCATTAGAGCATGGCAACACGTCAAAAAATTATATAAAAATAGAAAATTTCATATCCATCGATATCGATAATAGTCACAATAAATTTGTGATTATCGTCAATACAAAATGTTTCCTACTGAGTGAATGTTGTGGTTTTTAACTGTTCTTTATGAGCAGAAAATAAAAAACACTTGATGAACAGCCAGATATTTTAGAGATCTGAAGTCGATAATAATGTTAAAAAGCTGTCACAAAAAATGGCTACGCCAAGGTCCCCCCATGCTAACA